TATACTAGTCTAGCCGGTTAAATTAAATGTACAGAAACAGTACAAGCTATAATTTATTGAATTGATTACATTACAGGAGCTCTTTCAGGAAAGATATTGCTTAAGACTATTTTTTAAACAAACAAATTAACCTACATAATGTGCTGTCAATGGCTTAATGGCCTATTTGTCATACAGCTGTCCTTTTAATTTTTTACTGGAGCATATTTTGCATTACAGCCCATTATGAGATAACTAACTGTAAGCAGACATCATTCTTATTTTCATTGTAGTTAGTTGTAATGTTTGATGTTGTAATATGGAGTCCTGTAGCTCAGTGGTTAGAGCACTCGCTTTGCAAGCGAGAGACCTGAGTTCAATTCCAGGCAGAGGGCGAAACCTTGGGCAAGTTTCCTTACTCCACACACCTAATAATAATCCCTCCAAAATCAAAAACAATAATAAATTGGTTGTTTTCAATCTACGACTGTTTGTGGGACATTGCGGTGCGCAATTGGCTGCCGCGTTCGCCCACAAATATACAGTCAATTCACTTTACAGTGTGTTCTGTGAAGCGCTTTGGGACGTCCTCCCGACGTGAAAAGCGCTATATCAAATGCAAAGATTATTATTATTATTATTATAATAATCTCACCAGCCTTAATAATAAAAGACATATTTTGAAGAAATTTGAAGCAACAAATCATTGGCAAAATGTTCAACCCATTTTTTTCTGGAGAGCAAATAATGGGTGAGTAACTGCACATCAAAGGGGCCTTGGCAGTTCACCTGCTATTTTACTCACAGAATTTGTAAATAGTAGATAAAGGTGCGTAAAACTCACCTAACCACATTTTGTTTTCACAAATGTGTTTGTATTTATTTTATTTCCAATGTTATTATTCTATCCTGCCCCCCCTCCCCCACTTAAGTCAGGAGCAGAGGTAGGAGAACAAGGGGTGGTGGGGATAAAAGCCACAGCGCGGAGAGCAGTCAGCCAGTCAGGAGCAGAGGCCGGAGAGCGAGAGCGAGGGGAGCAGTCAGCCAGTCAGGAGCAGAGGCCGGAGAGCGAGAGCGAGGGGAGCAGTCAGCCAGTCAGGAGCAGAGGCCGGAGAGCGAGAGCGAGGGGAGCAGTCAGCCAGTCAGGAGCAGAGGCCGGAGAGCGAGAGCGAGGGGAGCAGTGAGCCAGTCAGGAGCAGAGGTCGGAGAGCGAGAGCGAGGGGAGCAGTCAGCCAGTCAGGAGCAGAGGTCGGAGAGCGAGAGCGAGGGGAGCAGTCAGCCAGTCAGGAGCAGAGGCCGGAGAGCGAGAGCGAGGGGAGCAGTCAGCCAGTCAGGAGCAGAGGCCGGAGAGCGAGAGCGAGGGGAGCAGTCAGCCAGTCAGGAGCAGAGGCCGGAGAGCGAGAGCGAGGGGAGCAGTCAGCCAGTCAGGAGCAGAGGTCGGAGAGCGATAAAAAACCAAGCGACCAGCGGGAAAATTAAAAAGTGACACCAGAGCGACGTCACAATCAAAACATTCTGAAAGAATAAACTGACAGCTAACACTAACTGCTAACTAACTAACTGTAAAATAACACTAACTACTAGTTAACAACACTAAAAATAAAACAAAATACTCTCCCTCCTAGTTTAGGTCAACCGCGAATTTGGATATATTAAGTTCGATGTCCTCATCAAGATTGTTGATGTAGATTGTAAATAGTTGAGGCCCAAGCACTGATCCTTGTGGCACTCCACTAGTCACATCCCGCCAATCTGAGAAGGACCCGTTTATCCCTACTCTTTGTTTTCTTCCCGTTAGCTATTCTTCAATCCATGCTAATATATTCCCCTTAATTCCATGGGCCCTAATCTTGTGGATCAACCTTTTTATGCGGCACCTTATCAAATGCCTTTTGGAAATCTGAGTACACTACATCCATTGAATTAGCTAAAATAGACTGGGGAATTAGATTAATGGATATGATATGTCACACCACTATTTAAGAAGGGCGGGAGAGAAAAGATGGGGAACTATAGACCAGTTAGTCTGACATCGGTAGTAGGGAAAATTCTAGAATCCTTAATTAAGGATGTCGTAGTGGGATACTTGGCGGATCACAATATGATTAGACAGAGTCAACGTGGCTTTACAAAAGGAAAGTCATGCTTAACAAATCTTTTAGATCTTTTTGAGAACATATCAAGTAGATTAGACGGGGGAATCAGTGGATGTAGTGCACTTAGATTTCCAAAAGGCATTCGATAAGGTGCCACATAAAAGGGTGATCCAGAAGATTAGGGCCCTGGAATTAAGGGGAATATATTAGCATGGATTGAAGAATGGCTAACGGGAAGAAAACAAAGAGTAGGGATAAACGGGTCCTTCTCAGATTGGCGGGATGTGACTAGTGGAGTGCCACAAGGATCAGTGCTTGGGCCTCAACTATTTACAATCTATATCAACAATCTAGATGAGGACATCGAACTTAATATATCCAAATTCGCGGATGACACTAAACTAGGAGGGAGAGTAAACACCAAGGATGACATAAAAAAAATGCAATGAGATATAGATAGGCTAAGGGAGTGGGCAAATAGGTGGCAGATGAAGTATAACGTAGGAAAGTGTGAAGTCATCCACCGAGGTGGCAAAAACAGTACAGCAGATTTTTTAGAAGGGCAGAGACTAGATAGTGTTAACGTTCAGAAGGATTTGAGTGTCCTTGTACACCAATCACAAAAGTTAGTTTGCGGGTACAGCAAGCAATTAGGAAGGCTAACGGTATGTTGGCATTTGTTACAAAAGGGTTAGAATATAAGAGTAGGGAAGTCTTGCTGCAACTCTATAGGGCCCTGGTGAGACCACACCTAGAGTATTGTGTGCAGTTTTGGTCTCCGTATTTAAGAAAGGATGTACTCGCCTTGGAGGGGGTACAATAATAATAATAATAATAATCCTTGCATTTGATATAGCGCTTTTCACGTCGGGAGGATGTCCCAAAGCGCTTCACAGAATATACTGTAAAGTGAATTGACTGCATATTTGTGGGCGAACGCGGCAGCCAATTGCGCACAGCAATGTCCCACAAACAGTCGTGGATTGAAAATGACCAATTTATTATTGTTTTTGTTTTGGAGGGATTATTATTAGGCGTGTGGAGTAAGGAAACTTGCCCAAGGTTTCGCCCTCTGCCTGGAATTGAACTCAGGTCTCTCGCTTGCAAAGCGAGTGCTCTAACCACTGAGCTACAGGACAATGTAGATTCACTAGGTTGATACCTGGGATGAGGGGGATGAGTTATGAGGATAGGTTGAGCAATTTAGACCTATATTCTCTAGAATATAGAAGAATGAGAGGTGTTCTATAAGATTATTAAGAGGCACGACGGAATAGATAGCGGGAGACTTTTTCCCCTGGTTGGAGAAACTATAACCAGGGTTCACAGTCTTAAAATTACGGGTAAGCCCTTTCGCACTGAGTTGAGGAAAAAGTTCTTCACTCAGAGGTTAGTGAATTTACGGAATTTTCTACCCCAAAGGGATGTAGGTGCTCAGTTCTTGAACATATTCAAGACTGAGATTGATAGATTTCTTGTGGATAAAGGGATTAAGGGATATGGGGGTAAGGTGGGTAGGTGGAGTTAGAATGATCAGCCATGATCTTATTGAATGGCGGGGCAGGCTCGAGGGGCCGAATGGCCTACTCCTGCTCCTAATTCTTATGTTCTTATGTTCTTATAATTGAACATCCAGGAATGAAGGCTGCACAGATGGGCTTTGATTTGAACATAACTGATTCTAAAACTTGTACATATAAGGCCACCTAGTGGAATAAATATTATCTACAAGTCTCAACTTCATATCAAACTCTAATTTAGCTTTTCACGTCATAATAAAACAAAACATTTAAAAAAAACTCTGAACTGTACTTTGTAGTGGAACTTAGCATAAAGAAATAGAGACGGGTGAAGAGAATAAAAATATTAAATGGAATTTGTGTAACTGTACACCATTTCTAGACAAATGACTCTTTTTTCATATACAGTATTTAATGTAATATATTAGTTTAGAGTAGAAATTGAACTAGTAGATCACCCCTAAATATTTTTGTTTCAAATACCTGGGTTGTTTTGTGTTAAATATTGTAACCAATTGAAGATGTAGGCTGATCTGCTAATGCAGCACACTAATCAATATACAGTACATAAAAGGCAAATGCAAACAGTAAAAAATTCTACTTAATCTGGCTCTGCTTCTTTCGCTATCACATAACACCCAAAAAATACACCACAGAGAGAGAATAACTAAAATGCATTGCATCATATTTGGCAATGAGCGGATTGTATGTGCACTTGTGCTAGCTCCCCACACTGGAGCCAGCTAATCCCATTCACAATACTCCAGTATGTTTCCAATCTATCCAATCTTGCTAAAACACAAGATGCTCAAACACTCCATTCAATGTGTTTATGTGTATTGTTTCAATATACATTTGTGATGCTCATTTCTAAAATCAGTACCAACTTTTCTTATCAGTAATTCCACCAGAATGCACACAATGAGTCCAACTGCATTCTAACATACTACTATGGTTCCACAAGATGCTTCAATTAGCTCATTTGAATGTATACATCATTTCCTTTCCGATTCCTCGCCAGAATTTTATTGCTCTCATGCAAAAGAACAATGCACATCCAATTCAATATCTATATATTTGATAGATGCTACTAAATAAATTACTTAAACCAATACATTTAAAAAATAAGGTAATAAAAAGATCTTTTTATTATAATGGACAACCAAAATCAGGAATGACTACTAATCAAGCACATTGAAGATAACTGTAACAAAACAGGATTCAACTTACTATAAACTATATATCTTTAAAGGCCGGAAAATAATCCAGTCAGCATTTATAGTAGGTAGCTACAAATGTACTAACAGGAATATTCTACACCAACACAGGCAAACATACTCAAACTGATTCTGCATACAGCAGTCAAAAAATTTTTTTTAACTGGAGCCAGATAATTAAGCCTTACCTTCATCTGCAGAACCCTCACTACTGTAGCCATCATATTCGGCTGACAACGGACTGTATTTGAGTCTAGATTCCCAGATGTAACCTTTCTGGTGATGTCTGTTGTCTGCGACTGCACCAGAGATGCTGTCTGTTCTGGACAAGGCCTCGTGGTATTTACCAAGCACCTCATCTTCGCTCTCCGATGAAGAACCATGGTGGTCTCCATCACCATAGTTGTTATCTGGGCAACACAACAGCAAAAGGATTTATCAAGCAAAGAATTGAATAAAGAAACCAAGTAACCTCCTGAATATAATAATTTCAAGTACTGTATGTTCAAAATGAGTGTTGTTCCCGTCAATGAAATATTCTAAGTTTGAACTTTCAGAAGAAACTAATGTCATATACTCTTAATAAATTGTTACATCGCAACAGGAAAGTAAAAGTTCTGTCATTCTATACTTTTTTACAATGATGTCTCGGAATGTGGGCAACTCTGGCAGGATCAGCATCTACTGCCCATCCCTGGATGTCCTGAGAAATGTTGGTGGGCCTTCTTTTTAAACTACTGCAGGCCTTGTGACAATTATGCTGCCACAATATCATCTGTTAGGGAGTTTGAGGATCTTGGCCCAACAAGGATGAACTAGTGGTGACATGTATATATAATCATTCCTAATCCTTACGTCCAATTGTCCAAGTCAGGATGTTGTGCGACTTTGAGGGGAGTATTCTCATGATGATGATGCTTTTGTATATAGATATGGGTCGTATATACAATTTTGATATCGGAACACACAGACACATTTGAAAGGGATGTAAAAGAACCCATTAATATCAATTTGGATGTTTACTATCTGTATTTATAAACATGAAAATATTGAATGTCAACATTCTGTCCCTCAACATACAAATTATATGTTGTTTTGTATTCTATCTTTCCATTGATAAAATTCAACTTTTTTTATTGATGAAATTCTGAAATATTCTAAAAAATAGAAATACAGTTCAATGTTTAACAACAAATATATTCAACTGAAACACAAACACTCTAGATAATAACAAAAATGATAAGTAGAAATGTGAGTTTCATTGGCTGCATGTATTCTTTACTATTTTTCAAAATATTTTTAGAAATCTTGTGGCTGAGGGTATTTTAGTAACATCATCTGATTTGCTGATCACACTAAACTGGTACAACCAGGTGATTAGCATAGGAAGATCTTTAATATTCAAAGGGATCTGAAGACAATCTGTCATTAATTTGGGATCTCAATATAGATACTGTAATAACAACATGATAATACACATTGGTAGCAGAATCATAAAGTAAGCATATGCTGCCTTAAGGTTAAGTATTGAAATAAACTATTGATTACTTTTTGAAGCCAGCAATGGTGGTCTTGAGAACCACATAAATATAATATATAAAGTACAACTTTCGCCATTGAATTATGTAGGATTTAATATTAGAATGATATTCTGCAGTTTCGTAAGATCAATTTAGATTTAGAAGTTGAGAGAGGAATTTCACAGAACTTTACTGATGTTTTACCAATGGTTAATAGTCTCACTTGGGAGATTAGAGGTGTTGGATAATGTCCACAATAGAATAAGTTAAATATGATCCATAGAAGTACAAATTTCTTGGAAAAAGTATTTTATTTCATAAGATAATTTCTCATATTTTCGTTGAGTTGTGCTTTCTTTTCTTGCGCATTTTTTTAAAACAAAATCTAAAAATATACAACCCTAGTTGTATTTCTTCCTAATTCTATAAGATACCAGCTAATACTGCTTCTCCCACAATAGAGACTGATAAATGTTTCTATTCGAAATTCCTCTAGTGCCTAGTGCAATTCTTGTCAAAATTGTAATATGCATTCCATCACATAGTTTTGTTAATATTATAATAATAGTAATCCTTGCATTTGATATAGCGCCTTAATACATCTTCGAGACGTCTCAAAGCGCATCACAGAATGTACTGTAAAGAGAATTGACTGTATATTTTGTGGGCGAAAGGCAGCAGCCAATTGTGCACAGCAGTGTCCCACAAACAGTTGTGGGTTGAGTGACCAATTTATTATTAAGAACTATATTTTTATGATACACTATTAGAGCAACAGATTTTTTATTTAGTACTGATGTACTCAAAAAAACGACTCTGATAGGGCTTGACAAAACCTCCCGTGAAGATTAAGTAATGCTTGTCATTTGGTCGCTTAAATGATAACCAGGAATCAAGACAAATTACAGTGCAATTTGAGGACATGACGTTACTGACTATTTGATACCAAAATGTAGTATCTTTCTCTTTCTTTTTTATCGCATATCGTTACTGCCATTTAAAAGAACACTGGATAGTAGTAATTAATGCCAAATGGCACTATCTTTAAAAACTGAAGGACTGAAATTACACTATTAATTTGGGAATGACACTCATTCAGAAGCCTGCTGGTTAAATTATTCTTCCGGTTATAGACTCAATTCAGTGGTATCTAAGGATGACTTCTTGACAACTAAAGGGTTAGATAAATAAATCCCCTATTTAGATTGAAAAGAACGCTTTAATTGTAAAAGCATCAAATAAAAACAAGTAAAGCAAAGGTCAATGATACTATATAACACACCGTATGTACTAAATAGTTCTTTGCTGGGAAATTGCTATTTGGGCTACATCCCATCAAATATAGAATTTTTTTTCATTGCAGTCACAGATAAGCCATTACCAGATTTGTACTTCCCTCTTCTGTTTTGTTAACAATATATGCTTTTTCCAAGTGTATTCGTAAATCCCAATTTCAATTCTGCCCCCTACTGACTGGTAAATAGGCCAATTTTGCTTTAATTATGCAATATTCTGCCCAATTTATTCTCAATTTTTTGCAGCAAATTACTTTAATGTTGGGTCCTTTTGCAGCACACTTCATTCCCTAAACCTGACATTATGAGAACACAATGAGAACTATGATAGTTACAGACTGGGATGATCAAATACTTCATGGAATGCAATGGTTGGTTCCTGTAGTTCTGTTTTTGGGTGAGAATGGGGTAATGTTCTGTGGATAGCAGACCAAGTTATAATATTTGAGATATGAGGATAGATGTATATAGCTAGATAAATATTTTCTTTATTGCCTTAAAGGATCAAGGAGTGTTAAGACAGAACTTTCTCTCACAATGGTTTTCAAAGAACAAAACTTTGTGTAGCTAAGTTTACTCTTCGTGTTTGGGCTTTTGCTCTTAGGGATGACAAGTCTCACCGGTGAGCCAGATGGGCTGGTTAACCATTAACGCTGTTTGATTGCTGTAGACTGCCTGGCTTCACCAATTTTACTCAAGATTAAATAGGTGAAATGCAGTGCATAATAGGGTAGATTTTCCATGCTCATGAAAAGAGTGAGCTTGAAACACCGAAAGGCATTTTCTCATTCTATGCTTTCTTATTTTCCCATTAACTGCTTCTTTGTCTATGAGGTTAGTGGTTTTAATTGTTTACATTTATCTCAATTACTTTGTTTCCTTGATTTAATTTCATCACACTGCTATTATTTTCAATGACAAATTACAATTTCAAAACAGTTTTTCAGTCCTGATGAACTCTGTGACAGATAATCACTCTAACTTTCACATTTTTGGTAGAAATAATATTGACTTCCTCCACTCTTTTAAAAGAACAGTTTTTTTTCTTGCAAAGAATTTGCAAAGAATATTCTTGCAAAGAATATCTTATAAAAAGTAAACAGCCATCCACACAGATAAGTAGGGAAGATACTCTTGAGGAACCAGAAAAATGTAAGTTTTTTTTAAACACTGCGTTAGAAATAAATCTGTGGTCACAGTTCCAAAAATAAGAAGGGAAAATTCCAATAGTCCAGCCTGAAGTCACAGAGCAGAAGATCAAGTTGAAAGGAGCACTCGAGAAAGGTACCTCACCTCTGTCTGACGTTTTCTTTTCTTTTTTTTCTTTCTTGTCTTTGATTTTTCCTAATAGTTTGACATCAAAAAACTCTTTCCCTGCTTTTTTATTGCCTTCTTTAGAAGCTTCTTTTTGTGTTTGTGATTCATTTTTACCTTTTGCAGTGTTCTTTTTACCGTTTGACAGATTTGTGGGACATGTTTTAGAGCCTGATTCTGAAGGAGGATCCGATTTATCAGTGCTTGATTTGTTTAATCCAGTTTCTGATCGGTAGCCACTCACTTTCTTCCCTTCATGACTTTTTCTTTTTTCTGTGCTGGGTAGAACATTGATATTCTCAGTTTCTTTAAGATCCTTCAAATCAATTACTGACATCCTCCTCTTGACTTTTCGATGGACCTGCTCCTTTGTTTTTTCTGTAACAGCATGTGGCCCATTGTTATCATTTTTACTGTTTGAATCCTCAGTTTTATGATTATTAGATTTGCCAAAACTATTCTTTTTATCTTTTAATAATTTATTAGCTGCAGTATTACTGGTCTTCAAACCCGTTTCAGATGATGCACACTTGAGTTTCTTTTCCTCTTTTTCTTGGGACTCCAGTTTTTGTGCAACACCACTGCAATTATCATTGTCTTCCTTGACTATCGATCCTTTGTTACATTCAGAGTTCCTTCCTTTATGCTTTGCACTCTTTTTAACTTCTGTGTCTTTCAACTCCTTCGAATCTGTATGGTGACTTTTTGATATTTTCTGCGTAAGATTTGTACAATCTGCCGGTTGCGGAATTGATGCTCCTTCTAGTTCCACAGCAACATCTCTTGTACTAACTTGCAACTCTTCTCTATCCACATTCAATTTATTACTTGTTGCACCACTTCTTAGAAATCCTGCACTATTGTCCTTTAAGTCTGAAGTAGCTGTTTCTTCACAATCACCAGACTTTTCCTCTTCTGTGCGAAGGCCCTGTATTATACTTGTTACCTGTTCTGTGACAGAATCAGCCACAGTGTAACTAGCCTGCCCAACTGCATCACTCAGTTCCTCTACAGCACTGCTAAACTGTTCAACTAAAGAGGACACTGATGGCAGATTCAGAGTTTCCTGAAAACTCTTGAAAAACGACATTTAATCAAACAGTCTTTGTAACCCTAAGAAAGCTAAGTTTTTGAAGCAACCCCATTCAGATGCCTGGAGCATGTTTTTAAAGCAGCAACAAATCAACATCCTTTCAGCTGACTGACTTCTGTTAGTAAATAAATGCAAAGGATTTACAATTAGCTATTGCATACCGATATAATAAAAAAATTAGATTCAACAATTGAAGAATTCACCTAGACTTAGCCAAATAAACGCACACAGGTTTTGCTAAAGTTAAGAGATTATGGGTTGAAAAAAGTGGTAAATGATGTGTAGTAATTATGATGTGGGCCATTCATTCAGCTTCTGGAGCTTTCCTTATGATAACTGCTGGAGGACATGTTGGGGAGAGGTGGGAGGCGCTGAGGGAGGTGGTGGGAAGGAAATAACCCCCATTGACTTTGTTAGAATAATTTGCACAAAAGCAATTTTCTGCAGCTATTGATCCTGATTTTGAAGTTACATTCAAGGAACGGAAGTTAATTTCATTTGTGCATGGCAGCATTGTCCAGGAATACAATTTACTCACAAAAACTAAGAAAATTCAGAACTTACGGATATTGTCTTGTGAATGCTTGTTGGTCCTGTACTCTGCATCAAGGCATGGAAACTCTCCTACATTCTCAAAATACAGTTTTTTGTTGATATATAGAAAGAGGAGGATCATGAGAATGATAAACACCCCAACAGCAGAGAGGAATCCAACTGCCTCTGGAGACACTGAAAAAAGATGAGAAATTAAAGATATCTAAAGAGAGCTAACAAGATCTTACAGGTAACAAATAATATATATCATAATAATCCTGGAATTTTATAAAACATCTTTCAGGTCATGAAGACGTGCCAAAGTGCTTTACAGGAATTACTGTAAAGTGCAGTGACTGCATTTTCAAGATGAATGTGGCAGCCAATTTATGCACAGCGATAACACCCACGCAGCTGTGAAGTGAATGACCGATATTTATCTGGAGAATTATTGGCCAGGACACAGGGAATAACTTCCTTTTCTTTTGAAATAGTGCCATTGGATTTTTAACATCCACCTGAACAGACAGATGAGACCTTGGTTAACATATCATCTGAAGGAAGGAACTTCCAAACAATTCAGCATGCCCCAGCACTGTATTGAAATATTAGTGGACTGTGGGTTCAAAGTCCAATCAAATCTTCACTCAACAACAACAAATTACATTTCCATAGTGCTTTTCACATCAGGAGGATGTTCCAAGGCGCTGGACAGCTGGGGATCCGCACTCAAGCGCTTGGTTGGGATCAGGAGGGGTAAAGGGCAGGAAGGGTAGGGTAGGAGGGTAACCAAAGGCACAGTCGAAGAGGAGGGACTCGAGACAGGTCTTGAATCGAGTCAAGGGAGGAGGCGATGAGGAGGGACTGTGGTCTGGAGTTCCAGAGTGGCTGAAGACCCACCCGCCAATGGTGGCGTGGGCAAGGCGGGGGACGTGAAGCAGGCTGGAGCCTGCTGAGCAGAGGGAGCGGACAGGTTGGTAGGAGTTACGAAGTCACAGAGGTAGGGAAGAGCGAGGCCGTGGAGGGCTTTGAAGGTGAGGATCAGGATCTTGAACTGTATCCTATGGGTGATGGGGAGCCAGTGGAGTTAGGCAAGGATGGGGTGATGGGGTCACGAAGCCGGGTGCGAGAGAGAACAACAAAAACCCTCCACGCAGGGTAGAATCTCATAGCACTTAACGGTGGTGGAGGCTGACTCCGAACCTGGGGGGGAGGGAAGAGGTGGCCATAAGCACAGTCGAAGAGGAAAATTTTCAGGCGGGACTTGAAAGAGGAGAGAGAAGGGGCAAGGTGGAGAGATTGAGGGAGAGTGTTCCAGAGTTTAGGGGGGTAGTGCCTGAAAGCACGACCTCCGATGGTGGGGCGAACGGTGCGAGGGATGAGCAGGAGGCCAGTGCCAGTCGAGTGGAGGCGCCAGGTGGTGGATTGGGGAGTAGGAAGTCAGAGAGGTAGGGAGGTGCCAGGAGGACACGGCTGCAGAGTTCTGGATGGTCTGCAGCCTGTGGAGGGAGGAGTTGGGGAGGCCAACAAGCAGGGAGTTTGCGTAGTCAAGCCTGGATATGATGTGTCCTGCGGCGAGAGACAGTGGCAGAGCCGGACAATGTTGCAGAGGTGGGGAAAGGCGGAGTTGGTCATGACCCGATGTGGGGCATGAAGGACAGTTGAGGATGCCGAGGTTCCATATTGGCTCCGTGAGGTGTAGAGTGCATCCATGAGGGGTGATGCTGTCAGTCACCGAGGTATGAAGACACTAACGGGAGCCAAGCAGGAGGGCCTCAGTCTTGTTGACATTCAACTGGTGTTATCAAATGTCTCAAAGAATTCCATACTGTAAATAAAACCGTTTTAAGAAATCCTGTTAAAAATTAAGGCAATGTATTACAAAATTAGAAGATTGCTGTTTTGCCCAACCAAAATCAAATCGACCATGTGGAAATGATTCCACTTATTGTCTAAGTGTTTCCAAAAATCTGAGATCTTTTGAACCGAAAGCATCAGACTTTGAAGATATAAGATCAGATTTCAATAATATTTTGTGAATAATATCATTTACTATCTCGCATTGTCCATCAGAGTATTTAGATGTATTTCCACAATGCTTATTCCGTTCTGTTTCTTACAATTAGTAAAATGATGATTATACAAATAATGCAGTTATTTTTATAAATGTTTTCAGATATTAAAGCAAATTTGAAAATACATTTCTTTTACTTGTTTTTCTAAGATATTATTTTTCATAAAATCATTAAAAAAAAGGCCACTGACAATCTTTCAAGTCTTTGGTCTTTGGTCTTTATGCTGCTGCAAAAAAGCAGATGCTTGAAATAAACTGAAATTTTCAATACAGTAAAACAAAACTCAATAATATAATGAACATCAATCATCACTTAGTGGATATTAAGATTTCAAGGCCCATCTTTTTCTGACTTGTTCAGCATGAAGAAAAAAATGGTAGATATTCCACCTGTGTCCTGATTTCCTCTATTTTCGTTATCTTTCAGAACTTCCAGAATTTGGCAAATTCTTAGATACAGCTTTTGTAAATTGTTTAAAGAACTACGGATTTCAAAGCGACGACTGAATGCAAAAGTTTGCCAACCCTAGATGCTCTGAGATACTAAGAAAAGAGAGGAAATTTAGATTCAAGTGGAATTTCTCCCCAGTCCAATATTTTAAAAATCAATATTTTACTAACCCATGGTTGAATGTTCATGAATGCATAATCACTCCAAATAAGTGAAATTAAAACTTTATAATTTTGTGAAGTTAAATTGCACAGTTCTTTTTTCTAACTTCTTTTTAATACATTAAACATTGCATGTAGTAATGCTCATTTAATTTCAGTGCTGCAGCATATGTCTATGGTCCTTAGAATATTCTTCTTACTGCTCAACTTTTGAGACAAGCAGAATATATTTCACAAGGTGTCAAATGGCAAAAGTTCTTCAACATTTGTGAAAGGTATCATTATCACTAGGTCTTATTTCTGAAGCACAATAGTTATTTCCTGAAAATATGCAAGGATTTGTTCATTAATTTACTGATGGTCTTCTGGTCTATAACAGTGACACATTATCTTATGATGCAATGTTCACCTTCTTGTAAAATATTGAGCAGTTAGTTCATCAATTCCTATTGAAAATAATGGAAATGTCTATTATTATCCAGATAAGAAAGACAACAGTAACAATTTAGAATGTTAATATGGAATTAAAACCAATACCAGTCTATATTTCTAATCTGCATTTATGCCTCACTCTGAGATTCAGTGGAGACCGCGCTATTTCTATTGCTATCTAAAAAGGAAAAAAACAATTAATTCAATTAACAATGTATGAGATTAGCTAGCAATGCATGACTTGTCAGCTACCTCACTTACATTATCAGTTTTCAGAGATTAGAGAAGTATACCTGTGGAAAAAGCATCTCATTAAAAACATTTTCTGCCACTACCTGTGTAAGAGTAGATTTGAGCAGGTTTAACAGGAGTTGATACATTCCTAAAGGAGGAAAGTATTTTAGGAGCGATTCTTGCTGTTTTCTTCACTAGTTTCATACAACCATGTTCTTTCAACCACAAAGGTACCTTACAAATCCTCAACTTCTGGCTCACATGTCACAGTTTGAATTTCCAGATTATAACAGGTACATTACATCGCTCAGCGGGCTCCAGCCTGCTACAGGTCCCCGCCTCGCCCGCCCCAGCCTTGCCAGGTAGGCCTTCTGCCACTCTGCCCCCACCCTCTGGAACTCCATATCGAAGTCCCTCCGCCTCGCCCCCTCCTCCTTCAAGATCCATCTCAAGGCCCTCCTCTTCGACCATGCTTTCAATCACCCCGTTTCCCCTCCACCCACCCCAATCCTGACCCCCAGCTCGGGTCCGAAACTCTGACTGTCCAGCACCTTGGGACGTCCTCCCGACATGAAAGGCACTATACAAAGGTAATTTTGTTGTTGTTGTTGAAATATTTGTATCAAAGACTCAGTAAGCGTCCTGTCAGTGTTCCTACAAAATTAAAACTTTCTACAGACTTTTTCTACTTGTCAGCATATGTTTAATGGCCTGTGGAGGGTTAGAATTGTGGAAGGAAAGCAGATAAACAGAGCTCACTATATATCCTGATATTGTGCCATTGTCATATATATTGGTTTCTAGGCCAGCTGCAGCTTCCTCACCCACACAGCATTTGAGCATTGAAACAGATCCGAGTGTGGAGCCCTGTAGCTCAGGTGGAGTCCTGTAGCTCAGTGGTTAGAGCACTCGCTTTGCAAGCGAGAGACCTGAGTTCAATTCCAGGCAGAGGGCGAAACCTTGGGCAAGTTTCCTTACTCCACACGCCTAATAATAATCCCTCCAAAAAAACTCAGAACAATAATAAATTGGTCATTTTCAACCTACGACTGTTTGTGGGAGATTGCTGTGCGCAATTGGCTGCCGCGTTCGCCCACAAATATAGTCAATTCACTTTACAGTGTGTTCTGTGAAGTGCTTTGGGACGTCCTCCCGACGTGAAAAGCACTATATCAAATGCAAGGATTATTATTATTATTATTAGTGTCTATCACCAGACCTACATATTAAGGGGGGGGAATCTAATTCTGCTGATTTTGTATTGAATATTGCTATGGTATGAATTTTGTGCTACCTTTGTACCAATCCCAGTCAGTTTTACACCTCCGACAGTTACAGGGGGTGGGGTGCAGACTATAACCAGTGAAGGAATGGTATTATTGGGAGACTGCCTCCCCCATCCCGTAGCTTCAGCTGTATATCAATTGAAGTCCTGCAGCTTAGTGGTCAGAGCACTCGCCTTGCGAGAGGACCTGGGTTTGATTCCTGGCAGGGCAAAACATTGCACAGGTTTCCTTACTCCATACGCCTCTGTTTACCTAGTAGTGAATAGAAACCCAGTTGTGAGTCAATTGATGGATCACTTTTCTGGGGGTAATAATCCTTCCAAAACATAATAATAATAATTTGGTCACTCAATTCACGACTGTTTGTGAAGACACTGATGTGCGCAATTGGCTGCTGTGTTTCACCCACAAAATAAACAGTCAATTCACTTTACAG